GGTAAATTGGGTACAAATAAGAAGAAAAATATAATCGATGGGGACAGGGATGTGTGAATGATACTTCTCAAAGTTTAAATTTGTGTATGTTTTGATTTTTGAATTATATGAATGTGAATTTGATTTTTGAATTATTGATACAAAAATGTAATGGTCACATAGTATTTCATAAAATACATTCTTATCATATTTTAATCAAGTGTGGGAAAGTCAAGATGTTTCCAACTCCTTGTTACACGTAACAGTGCTGTTATCACTATCTTTGTAGTGAAATCTTCACCTGCTTCATTATTTCCATAGGGGTAAACTCATAAAAATTTCTGTATTAAGGGCTATAAAATTTTCACTGTACTGACAAGTCAAGCTTCAGAAAATCTGTAGTCATTTTTTTTCTGTAGCCATTTTTAATAAACTTTATTTTTTAGGATAATTTTGGTTTCAGAACAAAACAATGGAAAGCACTGATTTCTCATCTACCCCGTGACCCACACATACAGACTCCCCTGTTATAAACATCTCCCCCGCCCCAGTGGTACATTTGCTATAACTGATGAACTTATGTTGATACATTATCACCCAAAGTCTGTAGATCACTTTAGGGTTCATTCTTGCTGTTGCTTAGTTGATGGGTTTGGACAAATATATAAAGATTACATCCACTAATACAGTACCATTAAAATAATTTCCCTTTTCTAAAAATCCTCTATGCTCTGCTTGCTCATCTTTTCCTTTTCCCAAACCCTGACAACTACTGATCTTTTTATTATGGCCATAGTTTTGCTTTTTATTTTATTTGCTTTTTTTATTATGGCCAGTGTCATGTTGTTGGAATCCGACAGCAGGTAGTCATTTCATCGGCTTCTTTCACTTAGAAACATGCATTTAAGATTCATCTGTCATTTCACGGCTTCATAGTTTTTCTTTTTAGTGCTGAATACTATTCTATATCTGCATGTATTTCAGTTTAGCCATTACCCTTCTGAAAGTCATGTTGGTTGTTTCCACGTTGCTATAAACCATGCAACAAACCTTCAAAAGGAAACGCCAAAGAGCATGTCAGGGCATATCAATGGTCACATCATCACCCTCCTCAAACATGCCTAGAGCTTGTCCTGACCATCCATAATACCAGCTCAATCTCAATTCTTCCCTTTGAGGGAAGTAGAAAACTGATCTGTTTTTGATCATGTGTGGGGAGAGGCCAAAGGGGGAAAGAGAGAAAAAATGATCCAATAAAATGTCCTCTCCTCAAAAACAATAATTTGGCATCCATCCACAGACAAAAATGTCTTTGTGGGAACTTTGAGATCAAGGTAGCAGACTGTGAAGCCTTTGTGCGGTTCAAGACACAAAGCCATTTTGAGACAGCGGGTTCACACCCAGGCAGCTGACTCTGTGGACCCAACTACATAAATGGAAATAGCGCATCCCCCTGAGGACTTGGCTACAGACCCATTTAACTTTGGGTCAGTCACCAGCACCATTCGAAAAGGAACTGTGGAAGAGTCTCATCTGCCCTTGTGTTGGATAATAGACTTACAGACTCAGTTCAATCTGAGCTGTGGACCCTAAAGTGGCCCATGAACTGGCTCCAGCCACTTGCAGTCAAGCTCCAGGAGCCTTTGGAGCAAGCCCACCAAACTGAGTCAGACTGCAGATTCTGACAGGACCCTATAACTGGTTAGCCCCACTCACCTGCAATCCAAGAACAAGGCTTTTTGGAACAGAGACCCAGCAGAAGACACTTGTCTGCACTCCCAGAAGTTCTGTAAGGGCTTACACTAGGGCTTATGCTTATGCTAGACCTTATGCTCAAGTCCTTCCAGGCATGCTCATCTCTTGGAAGAGATATGGACAGGCAGTACAGAAAACTCAAAGGTCTCCAAACAAGACCAACCAAAGATTACTCCAAGAAACACTTTTTTCATGTATATGCTGCTTTATTCTTGTAAGGATTACTGAAACATATGCTAATAACTAAAGACAAAATATAGAAATGAGTCATCTTTTCAAACCACTTTTTACAGTATGTAAATACGTGTTGTCCTTCCAGTTTACTTTTAATATTCTCATTACATTACATAATATAACAATGTAGATGAAATACAGTAAGTAGATGATCCTGAATTTGAGATAAGCACCATGTGATAGCATAGCTCTGCTTGTGAGGATGGTAGAAGCCTACTCCTCCGGATTTCCTGCTAAGCTCTTGAACAGTACAGGATTCACGGGAGAAGGGACTTTTAACACCTCTAACAAAGGGCAGAAAACTGATGTTACAAGAGACTCAACTTGTCATTATTTGAAATGTCAATGACAGTTCTGGCACCTGTTTAGCTACCGTGGCAGGATAGCTGAGAAGCAGCCTGCAGGCTACTTCTGCAGGATGCATTTCAAAACTACAGAAATGTTTGAAGGTGCTAAAATATTTTCATGCAAATTCCTAAACCCATAAACTCTTGCTATTAAGGCAAAACAGTATCCATTTTTTTTAAATAGAAAAAGGACAGCTGTGTTAGTTTTGTTTAGTCTCCAAAAGTATTCTCTGTGATGATTGTCCTCTGAACAAGACTCATTTTCTTAGACATGCCTACACTTTTCCAAACCCCCCTTCATGTTGCATGCTTGAGAAACAAGAGTGCTTAGAGAACTCAGGGAATGAAAAATGTTAATATGAGGGAATTGAGTTTAGAATCGCAGCTAAATTCAAACATGAATTTTCTGGAAATTTTCACTAGTCATTTGAAAGCACCAAAGAATGAAGGAAGGTAAGAGATGTGATGACGAGGTTAAGCCATGCCTCTCTAAGTGTTCTTCTGCTCACAGAATAGTGAACAGCCAAGTTGGAGCCTCTGCTACAGTTAAATAACTAGTTCACTTGAACAGCACTCAATTTCTTTTCAACTTACTAAACTTTTCTGTACCATTTAACTTTTTCAACTACAAATAGAATAAAAGTGTTTTCTAAATAAACACATTACCCATTCTTTTTCCAGAATCGATCATATTTTGGGCCACAAAGTAAGTCTTAACATTTAAGGTTTAAATTATCTTTTCAATTTTTTTTGGTATCTTTTCCAACCACAATGATATGAAACTAGATCTTGTCAGGAGGAAAAATCCATAACTATATGGAAGTTAAACAATACATTCCTGAACAACCCATGGGTCAAAGAAGAAAGCAAAAGGGAAATTGAGACCAAAAAAATACCAAAACTTAGCAAAAGCAGTTCAAAAAGGAAAGTTGATTGTGATAAATTACTACATTAAGAAAAATTGCAAATAAACAACCTTTTATTCTTCAAGGAATTAAGAAAAGAACATACTAGCAGAAGGAAAGAAATAGATTAATGCAGAAGTAAATGAAGAAAGAAAACAGACTGGAAAGGTTATAGGAAAAAAATGAAACTAATTTTTTTTTAAATTTTTTTAAAGATAAACAAAATTAAGAACTTTAGCTACTTACCAAGAAAAAGAGAGGATTCAAAAAAATAAACCTTTCAATGAAAGAGGAGACATTACCTGTGGCAACCACAGAAATGTAAAGGAACACAGGAGGATGCTATGAACAATTACACAATAACAAATTGGATAAACTAGAAGAAATTCTTAAACATACAACCTACCAAAACTGAATCGTGACAAAAATCTGAGCAGGAAATTAATGACTAGGGAGGCTAATAAGGTTAACTAGCTTTAAATGGCACTCTTCATAACATGTGCTTCAAATCATCACATTGTACACCTTAGACTTGCGTAATGTCAATTACAACTCAGCAAAGCTGGGGAAAAAGTAAAATTAAATAAAGTTTTCAAAGGGGATTAGATAGATGGGGTTGGTTCTCATAAGATGGGAAAGGCAAACTCACAGAATTTCACCACACAAAGGGTTTCTCCATTGTCTATTCAGCAATTTTAAGTTGGTAGCTCAGTTGACTCTGCTCAGTCTGAGACAGGTTCTCTTTCACCAACACAGAGATTTTAAGTAACCCAACAGATTACTCATAAAGTTCTGAAATGTCAGACTTTCTCGGAAAACTGGGAAGATCTGACAAAATAGGAAAGTCAGGAATGAACTAGAAATTAACAATGGGGAGGTTCTTTAGACCTTTATTCTCCTGCCGCCACAACTCTGAACACGCAGCGGCCAGCTCTGTGCTTTCCAGGTTATCCGCTGCATTAGAAAGTCCTGAAAGTTTAATCTGGTTCCATGTATAAGGAAAACAAGACCAGGAGGAAATGGAAATTCAAGCCAGCCCGTCAGAAGCAAAGTAGAGGGCACTGGGGTGTCCCAGCAGACAGGTGGGATGCTTCTCCTGGCCATGGAATCTGGCAAGGGCGGGTACAACAGGGGCTCGGTGAGGACTTCAGGATCAAAGCAGCAGGGCAAGCTGCCCCCAACCCCAGCTTGGGGAAGGGAGGGTCTCCTCCACCGTCACCCTCAAGGGCCCACACTGCACTCTTAGAGGCTGCATTCGAGTCTCCCCAGCACCGGCTCTCAAGCACGCTGGAAGCCACCCGGGCTCCTCCTGAAGGCCTTATCTTGGCGCGGGAGCGCACGCTGGCACGGGCCCCAGCAGAAGACTGAACGTTTGGCTCCTGCACAGACGACCCCTTGGGGCGCCGCAGCGGGGTGCAGAGAGCCTTGCCAGTTCCTCTGTATCGCATCCTCTGAACCCAGCGACAGTGGCCCAGTTCATTCTGGGTGCAGGGCGCAGAAACCCCTTGGAAGGGTGGACTCTGAACTGGGAACCTCAGCCGACGCGGTCAGAGCGGAGCGCGCTCAGCGCCCCGGGCTCTCTAGGTGGGAAATCCTTGCGCCCACCCTCTGCCTCTGCGCAGAAGAGAGCTGGGGACCCCGGGGCGGAGTCGGGGGCGGGGCTGGGTGCACCAAGCCTCGTCCGAGGCGCCGGGAAGAGCTGAGGGGGCGGAGCGCCAACTCTTGCGGGAAGACTGAGACCACCACGCGCCGGGGAAGTGCTCTCGGCTTGGAAGAAAGGGAGCCGCCGCCCAGCCCCTCTACGCTGCGCCTCCCGCGGGGCAAATCCGGACCCCCGAGGCGGGAACCGAGGAGCTCGGCCCACACCCCTAGCTAGGGTACCTGGGATGGTAGAGCGCGCTGGGGAGGAGGCGCGGAGGCAGGTACGTTCTGGGCATGACCGGTCCGGGGGGCTCCACGGGTGGGATGGGGTGGGGGGCGTCGTCTGGGTTGGGGGGCGCAGACGCCCACTTGTTTCTCTGGGCTGTGTGGGTGGGGAGGGTGTGAAGGGATTCGGACTGCTTTGCCTCCTGCCACTCTCCGAGTGTATCCGAGCTAGCTCGTGTAAGGAGTTGGTACCAAAAGATCCTCTCATCCTCGCCCCTTCCCCAGGAACCCGCTAGGACGGGGCAGGGGGCGGCCGGCCGGGGCTGGGGTGCAGGAGCGGGCAGAGCGACCTAGCGGGTAGCTGGGCAATCCGGCCATCACCAAATTGCCGGGGAGGGCGCGGGCAGAGCAGCACCTTCCTGAAAGGTGACCAGAGCAGCGCCTTGGAAAATTCCCTTGCGCTGCCTGCTCCCCCCAACCCCTTCTTCTTCCCGCCCGGAGGCCCCGCGTGCTGTGCTCTAAGAGCCGGCTTTTCTGACTTGCATCCACCCCTGCCGAGGCCGCGCCCCGCGGGACCACGCTTTGGGTTCGGGTGTGTATGGGTACCTGCTCCCGGAAAGAGTTGGCGAGGGCAGGGGGTGCATCCCACGAAAACGGGACTGGTACCTGCCCCAGTCCTGACGGCCCACGCCCTCTCCTCTCCCCGGCCTAGGGGCTGGAGAGCCGCCAGCTTTAGACGCCCAGAGGGCGGGACCCGCTTATCTGTCTCAGCCTAAGCAGTGACTTCAGGGATGGGCGGCTTGTGTGAGCCAGAGGCAACCCTGAGACAGGGCAACCTGGCTGCTGTCTTAGTCACCTTGGTACGCACCCCGGGTGGCCGCAGGGCAGGCTGGCTTATCCCTACCACTGCTGTCCGCTCCTGGGTCAGTGCCTGTCCCTGGCTCTCCCACTCCTGCCCAGCGCAGCCCAACCCAAGGTACGGTCTGGCCCGCTTCTTGCTACCTGCAGCCCCCTGGTCCCATTCCTGGAGTCCAGCTAAGGGGATGGGAGCAGGACCACTAGGGTCCCATGCCAGGGGGTGTGGGGTCCCAGTTCTTTTTCTGGTCCAGCGCTCAGACTTTATTTCCTCTCCACTGGGCATCTTCAGGCAACGGGAATGTGAAGGATACAGGCAAGGAGCGCAGTTCAGTCCTCAGACCCGCCTGGGTTCTCGCTAACCTCTCTCTTCTCGGCCTTGGAAACTCTTTGCAGTTAAGCTGGGTCTCAGAGCAGCCACCACTTCACAGGACACAGCTTTGGTGATGGGATGTGGTGCCCCCAATCAGAGTGGATTCTTGGTGGGGAAGTGGGAGCTCAATGAGGGGGGTAAGGCAGCAGACCCACAGGGGGTGGGGGAAGAAGTAGACAAAGGATTTCTTTCTAGCACTCTTCCCAAAGCTCAGGGGAGCTGCAGGAGAATTCCCTCCCTCACAGCCCCTCCACTGCAGAATCAGGGTCGGGATCCTCATGCACTCATCCAGCAGAGCCCATCCAGCCCTCACAATGTGCCAGATGCTGGACTGGGCAGCAGGAATTGGATTTATAGGAGGATTGGGACTCAGAGAGCATAACTCACTGGCTCAAGATGACTCAGCCTGTCCATGTGAAAATGGATTTGGTGTTTTCCAAGTGTATGGTTTGGCCATGACAGAGGGAGCAATGTTCTGCTTGGAGGAAAGACCCAGTCCTTGGCTTTATTGTCCCTGGCCAACAGATGGTACAACATTGTGACTACCACAGGAGCCTGGACCAGCTTCCTGGAGCAGTCTTGTAAAAAAAACTTTCAGAAGACCCTGTGGGAGTTGTAGGGAAAGCAAGTGTGACTGTAAGAAAAGCAAACTGGTCCTGGTCCTGGGCCCCTGGGAATTAGACAAAGATGCATGTCCTTCTGGGGTGTCTCTGGAGAGTCCAACTCATTCTATGCCCAGTACCTCTTGGTAGCCAGTGGAGAGTTTCCCAATTTCCAGATCTCATGTTGCCTCTCCCAGTAGCCTGGGTAGTTCTGTCTGTGGGTAGGTAGTGGCTCTGGTTGGCCTATACCTGAGGAACACAGGAGATACTACCAGGTGCTCTTCTGCATGCTGCCTGCTGTTTGTGTCTCCATCCAGGATCTAAAACAATGTTTTGACTCTTCCCCAAAGATACAGGCAAGGAGTAAATCTTGCTGAGCTTGTGAGAGTGAAAGAACTGGCCCCTCAGCTGGGATCACTCAGAACCTCGAGGCTCCCACACACTAAAATACCTGCAAGCTTAACCATGGCAGCCCAGAATGGAAACACCAGTTTTGCACCCAACTTCAACCTACCCCAAGACCATGCCTCCCTCCCCTTCAACTTCAGTTACAGTGATTATGACCTTCCTCTGGATGAGAATGAGGACATGACCAAGACTCGAACCTTCTTTGCAGCCAAGATCGTCATTGGTGTGGCACTGGCCGGCATCATGCTAGTGTGTGGTATTGGCAATTTTGTCTTTATTGCTGCCCTTGCCCGCTATAAGAAGCTCCGCAACCTCACTAACCTGCTCATCGCTAACCTGGCCATCTCTGACTTCCTGGTGGCCATCGTGTGCTGCCCCTTTGAGATGGACTACTACGTGGTGCGCCAGCTGTCTTGGGAACACGGCCATGTGCTGTGTGCCTCGGTCAACTACCTGCGTACTGTCTCACTCTATGTCTCCACCAATGCCCTGCTGGCCATTGCTATTGACAGGTGAGCGGGTTGGGCAGGGGTAAAGGAGGGGGCTGAGCCAGGCTGCCCATTTGCTCACTTGCTCCCTGGCAGTTGACATGAACCCAGAATTGAATGTCTGTCATGGAGCAAGGGGAGACTTGGTTTGTTCAGTTTGAGCTCAGATCTCCCCAAATGCGGGCAAGAGTAACACTCCTGAGCCCTCCAGCTCTGGACTGTGCCCCCAGGCGCCACATCTGCTTCGGATATTGGCCAGTCATATGAGCATGATTAGCATCACAGCCAAAGACAAAAGCATTAAATTTGAGCAGCTGCTACTTCACCATCAGTGAGAGTTAAGGGCAGCTTCCAGTCAAGATAACATGAGCCAAGCTTTTTGCAGTCACTACAGGATATGGAACATTCCATCACTAGTGCCCCTCCTTACCTGTCAGCCCTCCTTCCCCAGATAACCACTAACCCGATTTCTCTCATCATAGTTGTGTCTGTTCTTTAATATCATAAACATGGAATCCCATAATATGTACTCTTGTTCCTGCTGACTTTGTTGTAGAACTGATTTCCCAATAAGATTAACAGCTTGTTTGAAATAAAGGGGGCAGGCCATGCTCGCCTTTGCTTTTTTGCATATATCCACGTGCACATTTGCATATATTTGCATGAGACATTCTAGAAGTCCTTGCTCTAATATAAATTTGCTATGTAAATTTATATAGTAAAATGCATAATAGCAGCATATGACAAATCTCACACATTTACGTGAACAGTTGTATGCCAGCGTCAGATCACTAGTAACTGTTTGAGGGGGGACAGTGGTGCCACACCTTTTTGGTTGACCATTGTGAACTGTGCTGAAGCTCATTTTAATGATGTTTTTTAATTATCTTTTTTCCTTTTTTGTCTCCATTTCCCACTCATTCTGGTGCTATTTAAGCTTGTTGTTCTTTCTAATCAACCAGTTGATTATTTTTTAACTAGGAGAATAAATACACACACAAGTATAAGAGGTTGCTACTGTTTTATAACATTATTCCTGCAGGAAAAACAGTTTTGTTAATACAACTCTGAGGCTCTCCAGTCCCAAAACTAGTGTTTGTGATATGCAGCTATAAACTACTGCACAAAATGCAGGGAACCGGTCTAAAGCATCACTGGATATAATTATCAGTGTCAGATTCCACCCTGCCCTACCAAATGGGAATCCCTTGGGCTATTGTCCCAGGAATCCGCATTTTTATGCAATTCCCTGAGTGATTCTGATGTTCTTTTAAGTAAGAATTATCGCTATTTATCCCCTTTGTCCCACTGAAACCTTTCCTTATAGTTTTGTTTGTTTGTTTTTTAATAACAGCATTTTCTTATGAAGCAACCATCCTGATAAGACACAAAAAGTGGTTCTTTTTTTCAGGCCAGCTCTGCCCATCAGCAGAGCAGGAACTGCACTGGCAGTTCCACATTCTCCCCGTCACTTAAGCTGGAAAAAATACCGTCATGTTTTGCCTTCTCCCTGTCCCACCCACCCACCCTTCGTGTTCAGCCCTTGTAATTGTCCTTTCAGCCTCACCTCTTGACAAATCATCATAAGACTCTTCTAACCTGTCTCTTTATCCCTTCAGGAGCTCCTGACTGTCCCTCATATCTATATTCATCCATAGCAAGTTTTTCCTATAGGCAAGTGGGGCTTATCCCTGCTGAATAGCTCTTGGGTATAGATCATACCTCAGAGTTCACACAGGAGTGAGGGCTGGGAGAGAGTCACTGTGAGAGCTGTTCTAGAAATGCTGCACAGGTAGCCAAGAGGGTTCTAGAAGCCAGGGAAGGCCGTTAGAGACAGAAATGCAGGTTTGGCAAGTGGGAATAGACAGGTGTGCACTGAGATAAGAGGTTTGAGAAGGGTAGATGCTGGTAAAACCTGGTAGGTCCTTAACAGCTTGTGTGTCCAGCTACGTGCCCGTCCTATGTATATATCGAAACAGTAAAAGATACAGTTCTCAGCCCCAAAGGGTTTTCTTATCCATAAAAGCTAGAACAATCAAGTGATAAGTCAGAATAACTTGGATGAAGAAGTGATCATGTGTCACTGACAGTCTGGGGATGCCTCCTAGTCATCTCACCAATGACAGAGGGATTCTCTGGCCCTAAATAGCACCGGTTGACCAAACACAACACCTGACACTGGACAGACAAGACTAACAGCAGCTGATGAGTCATCTCCACTCATGGAGCAGGAGAGGGGATGCTGCACACCATGCAGGGCCCCGTAGGAGTCACACCCCAGGGTGGAAAGGACCAGCAGGGGCTGTGGGCAGCAGGCTCTGTAGTAACAAGAAGATGAGGTGACCCTTAACTCCCACAAAAGGTTGTCATAGGTTTGTTTGAGTAATTTTGATAGCTGGCAGGGAAGTGAAACCCATTTGGTTGAGAACTAGGGGTGCAGCTGGTCTCACTGACAGGAACTGGCAGAGCAAGGAAGACCCCCACTGGGTGCAGGGGTATACTCACTGCTAAGGTTCTGGGGCCCTGGGAGGTTCAGTGATGACAGGGTAGCACATGGAATTGCAGATCTTACAATATAGGAGCCTAATAAGTAGTACCCGCTTTCTCATTCAGCTATGAACCAGTTGGGGACAATAAGGCAAAATAGTAAGAAATATGGATGAACCAGCTCTCACTTTCCCCCAATAATTCTGGCATTGGATGTTGGGGCTTTTATTCGTGGACATGGGGATCACTTCATATTCAATGGTAGAATCAGATCAGCCTGCATAGCCTGACACAGGCAGGGTGGGAGAAGTATAGAATTCCCTGTGCACTGCAGTGTACTCCTTGGTGAAATGCCTGTCCTACTCTGTAGAGATACCGGCCTACACACTGCCATTTCTGGATGCCACAGGTTGGAGTGCCTATTGATTTCCAGGTTTAAACTGTTTCCTTCCTATCCTCATGCCTCTTTTCCTACTCTACCTTCTCCCACCACCTCTTCTCCTCCCATCCCACCCCTAATACACGGAAATTATTCCAGGACCCCAAATTAACTGAACAGGTAGTAGTAGGTCTTTCTGGAAATAAGGTATTCAACCTACACACATGAGCTCATTTCCCAAAAGGCTCTGACCACTTTCCCAGGCAGTGTGGCTCACCGGAAGGAGCAGGTGAAAGCCTCATGCTGCGAGCTGCTTTCCGGTAGGGTGACTTCACACGCCTTCTCGTCTGAGCTGGAGACAGCCCAGGGAAGTGCATGTAAAAGCTTTGTATCAAGAGCCTAGATTCTGAAAAATATCTGATGGCTTCTCTTATAGGGCAAATATAGGAGAACCCATCCCGATTCCTTTCCCGATTCCTTTTCTGCTCTCCCGCCTTCAGGATAGATGATGGCTCCTTGAGGTCCTGAACGCATGCCTGATGGCGGGCACCTGGAGTAGGGTGTGGGCAGAGGTAGATGGGATTCACCTGGGCTGAGACTGGGCTTTTAAGGGTGGCGTCACGGGGACGCCAGCAGAAGCCGAGAGAGAAGCTGAGAGAGAAGCAAAGCAGAGAATCTTCTCTGCTAAGGAATCGGGAAAAAAAAACTATAATAAAAAGAACAAATCTAGCAGGCAACTATAAATCAGACACATTCTGCAGGGGAGGAGGGAGAAGGATGAAAACAGGTTGGGGAAGAGCACAAGGGACTATGGTGATGGTGCCTGGGTAAAAGGGTGGTGAGAATTTTACGGGCCTACCCCTAAGAGGAGAAAGCATACACTGCACAAAAAAGGAAAACTGATGTAATATATATATATATTTAATTTTTTTTAAGACAATAGCCTGGATTCTGTACCATGAAAGCTGGGCAAGGCATTCAGCTCTCACTGGATACCTTACTTTTCTCCAAGTCCACCTTTACGTTCCTGCTGTGTATTACAGGATGACACCCCGGGCAGGAGAGAGAAAGCCCTTGTCCACTGCCTGAGAAAGGTCTCCACCTCTCTGGAGTCCACCGCTCCTTCACCCGTAAACTAGGAGCTACTTGGAATGAAAAATTTTGAAAGCATTAGGTTCTTGGGCAGAATGACAAGGCTGGGAGCCAAGGTGGTAGCAACAGGATTCAACATAATTCTAAAAGGGCACAGGTGTTAACTAGAGGCAGGAATGGACAAGTGCAGGTTTTCTGATCCAGCAGACCCGGTAAAGGAGGAGTCAGAGTCCTCAGTTGTTTTTGCAGGTCTTTTATTGGGATTTACCCGGTACACAGCAGGCAAGGGTGCTGGGGGGCCAGGAGGCTGGCAGGCTTGCCAGCCCCCAGCAAGTCCTCACTCTATCTGGGCTCTCCGGTGATCTCTGCTTCTGCTTCTTGGCTTCTCTCTCGGCTTCTGCTGGCGTCCCCGTGATGCCGCCCTTAAAAGCCCAGTCTCAGCTCAGGTGAATCCCATCTACCTATGCCCACACCCTACTCCAGGTGCCCGCCATCAGGCATGCGTTCAGGACTGCAAGGATCCATCATCTATCCTGATGGCGGGAGGGCAGAAAAGCCTGACATTTTTCTTTACCCTACATTAACCTAACACCTACTACATGCCAAACTTTTTACAAACACGGTCACATTTCATGTGAACAGCAGCCCTGCAAGGTAGAAGTCACTTTATCCCAAGTTTCATTTGAAGAAACGAATCTCAGAGAGGGACTGAGTGACTCACTCTAATCCCCAAAGCCAATCAGGAGGGAAACTGAGATCTGCTCCACCTGTTTAACCCAAAAAGCCTGTGTTGTTTCCATTAAAGAGCTTCACTACTGGAAACAGGAAATGATGTTGCTAAAAATAAGATGAGACTTGCTGAAGGGGACATGCTGGACTCATTGTGCCATTGTCTGCGCGTGTGTGTGTGTGTGTGTGTGTGTGTTTGGGGTCAGTTAAAAACGAATGTGTCTAAGCACCCATCATTTTGATCCATGGCTTCTCCCTCCTGCCAGGTACCTGGCTATCGTTCACCCCTTGAAGCCACGCATGAATTACCAAACCGCCTCCTTCCTGATCGCCTTGGTCTGGATGGTGTCCATTCTCATCGCCATCCCCTCAGCCTACTTCACAACCGAAACGGTCCTCTTTATTGTCAAAAGCCAGGAGAAGATCTTCTGCGGCCAGATCTGGCCGGTGGACCAGCAGCTCTATTATAAGTCCTACTTCCTCTTCATCTTCGGCGTGGAGTTCGTGGGCCCGGTGGTCACCATGACCCTGTGCTACGCCAGGATCTCCCGGGAGCTCTGGTTCAAGACGGTCCCTGGTTTCCAGACCGAGCAGATTCGCAAGCGGCTGCGCTGCCGCCGGAAGACGGTGCTGGTGCTCATGTGCATCCTCACCGCCTACGTGCTGTGCTGGGCCCCCTTCTATGGATTCACCATCGTGCGCGACTTCTTTCCCACCGTGTTCGTGAAGGAGAAGCACTACCTCACCGCTTTCTACGTGGTGGAGTGCATCGCCATGAGCAACAGCATGATCAACACCGTGTGCTTTGTCACAGTCAAGAACAACACCATGAAGTACTTCAAGAAGATGATGCGGCTCCACTGGCGACCCTCCCAGCATGGGAGCAAGTCCAGCGCTGACCTTGACCTCAAAACCAGTGGTGTGCAGGCCACGGAAGAGGTAGACTGTATCCGGTTGAAGTGAGCCGCTGAGTTTCACAATTGAAAAATCAGAAGATGTACTCAGAGCAGAAGTCACCAATAACCAAGTTCTCCAGCTGCGTGGGGGAGGGACAGCTGTGTTCAGTCCTCAAAGACCTGGATACCTGTTGGTCATTACATGCCATGTGAAGAGACACAGTCCACCGCAGCTGACGTTTGCTGATAGTTGCTCAGCACCTATTGTGTGCACCAGGCACCAATGAGATTAGACCAATTTATAGCAACTGACAATTGACTGAACACCTACTGTGTGTGCACAACACAGATTAGATTAGAGAAGGGCAGCAAGAGCTGATATTTACTGATTCCCTTCTGTGTACATAAATATTTAAATAACAACAAAATGGCAGAAACTATTGAAGTCACCAAGCTCTATCCAGGTATATGGACGGCTTCACAGAGCCCACAAATGACCAGACTCACTCTTCATCTTCCCTTACTCTGCATATCATCAGATGGAATGTCAGAAGGCTAGAGAATAAGACACTTAGACATGATAGAAATGTTAGGATAAGGTGGTCAGAATATGGGGTTTACAGTGTCATGGAAAAAGAGTCCTTAACACTACATTGAACCTTCCCATCCAATGCCTACCTTTCTAGGATATTTTCTAGGATTCTGCAAGGAAAGAATTTGTCTCTTACCCAAGTCAGTGTTTATCCGTAATGGTATGATTTCAAAAGAAAGAACCAAGAAATCTCTTTGCACTGATGTTTGATGTTTATCATTTTGGTTGGGGGAGACAGGGAGTCCTGAAATAAGGAAAGCATGAAGTTCCTGGCATCTTAGTGTAAAGGATTTCAGGGTCTCTAGTGTCAGGAAGGGGGGAAGGGCCAGTGAAAGAGATGATGCTTGCCATTGGCAATGAACATAATCTAAATGGACATTTTGCTAAGATCATGACCCCTTTTCTAAAACACCTCCTTGTTTTAAAGAATGAGCTCTACTAGAATCCAAAGACCTGAGTTCAAATCCTAAGACTCGTGTGACCTTGATATTTACTATTTTTGCATCTGTTTTTCAGTGAAATAGGAATGATGACAATATCATCTCTGCCTAATTTATAGAACTAATGAAGTCAAAGTTTGTGCAAGTGCTTTTCAACAAGTGATAAGACTGGATAAGTGATACCGAGCAATTTGTTTGGATAAGGAAATCCACCCACTGGGGCTAATTATGAGAACTACTTTTTATCCCTATTCTTTGGACCAGAGGCCCCGGAACTCTTCACCGTGCAGCCTATCTAAACTGGGAGGGTGGGGAGGCAGGAATCACTGCTCTCCATCATTATCAGGAAGATTAACCCCAGCATCTCAGTGACCTCTGGGCTCTGAGCATCCCCATGGTTAGAAGTGTTGAAAACCTTCCTTGCATGTTTCCAAACAGCACACCCCAGGACTGCATACTTCTGTTTGTATTATATAGTTGATGATTTGTGTACTTGTCCTCATTTCCTCCTGTTTGGTTTTAAAGCAAAGACTATATAAATGGTTCCTGGTTTGGAATTGACCCAAATGACCCCCATTTAGACAAGTAGTTTCCTATAGAGATTTAGTTGTTTGCTTATGTGTGGGTTTTTTTTTTTTTTTTAATTATTGGCTTGTTTGTCCATCAGTGAAGCTTCAACCAACATTTTCTTCCATCACCACCCAGCAGACTCACCTCCAACTCCATTTACCCTCAGCAAATACACACTCTACTATTAGCCTAAGCCAAATGACATCAATTCTGATTTTACCAAACTGCACAATGCATTCTAAAACCAAGCTAGTAAGTATTGGAGGTTATCTGCATTTTTGCAATTGTTAGTATTTTTATTTATTATCCTCTGACAGTTCTCCTAGTAAGAAGATTCTTTAAAGATAGATCGTTGTGCAACTGTTTGTGTCAAAAGTACATGGAGCTGTTCAGAAGCGAGGGGTGCCAAGTGCGAAAACAGATTGTGAGGAGAGAGTACCCAGGCCCCAGGTCTCTTTTCTTTTTATCCTAAAATGCACCATCTTTCCTTCATCTCAACTGAACTGAAACACATTTTGTAAATATCAGTGTGTATTTGTGATTTTCTAGTGAATAGAAGGTGTTATGTGTTGTTAAAGGAAATAATTAACATATGGAATCTTAGCCAGAGTGTTTAAGTGTTTTCCCTGCTAATCTTTTACATATGTGAGTGTATTTAGATATAAGTGAAGTGATAGCCATCTAAGCAGTTCAAACTTGAAACAGAGAAGGAACTTGTTGAAGACATTTTTAGAGCACTGGCAGCTCATGCCAGCAACCAGGCTCATCTTTGTTTATATCCCTCACGCTAACAACCCAGAAGTGTATCCTTGCATGCAAATAAGCAGAGGACCATTGTCTTTGCCCATGTTACCCCTGTGTTCAGATCATCTTGTTTGTTTAATGAAAACTTTGCATGGAGACTATTAATTCATCTAACTGTTAAGATAATAAATCAGTTGAACTTGAGTTTACCCTTGTCTTCTCAAGACTAATGATAAGTCTAAGATACTTTTAACATGCTGAGATATATAAACATTTATACATACTGTTATATACTGAAGTTTTAATCTCATTTCGAAAAACATTCATTTCCCTGGCCAGAATGAGAGAAAAGATGGTTTTGTAATGAAGCTATTAGCAATGTTTCTTTCAGCATCCAACATCTAAAATAAGTTGATTCTCAAAGTGAAAAAAAAAATTAAAAACTGGCATCAGGCCCTCAGGCATAAAAAACAATTCCAGACTTCTGAGGGAGAATGTGACACGTGGGAGGTGACTAGAAATCTTAAATTGAATTCTATTTCTAGGGGAAAATGATGGTTTTGAAAAATATAGCCTCAATTTAACCATTATCTCTCCCTTGGGCTCAGGACCACACACACCAATAAGACACCAGAGCAGGAAAAGTTCTTTTAAAGATACAATTCAACTCTCTCTTTTCTTTTTTTTAAAGAATTCATTTTATTTATGCATACAAGAACTGGGGTACAGGCCAGAGGTGTGGGGGTGAGAGGATTCACCAGAGACAGAGTGGGGAGCAGAACAGGCGGATCTACCGAAATACACTACTGAGGGGAGCAGTGGGTGAGACAGGAGAGGTCTGCTGTGCCATATGGGTCAGCTCCCTGGCCTGGGGATTGAACTCATGCTGCAGATAGCTTCACAGTGGTGAGACTTAACCACTTGCACCACCAAGGAGGCCCCTCCCTCTTAAGGGGAGAGAGCTCAATCCCATTGAGGAAATGACTTGTTTACAGGCACACAGCTAACATCTGGTGCAGCCAAAACCTGGACCCAAGGTCTCACTCCAGTTCAGTTAACCGAATTCAGTAACCGCACCTGAGTCCAAAAGAGGGTCCTTCACTGAAAATGCTTAGCTGTGAGCTGGTTTCTGACTTACTTGGGGAATCTTAAATTTTGGGAAAGAGACCTTCCTTCCCTCTGAATGAGGGCATCACTGAAGGGGTGTCAGAATCCAGAATCCCAGAGAAACCAAAGAAAATTAACCCAGGACCATTCTATCGCTCCCACTCTCCTCTCTACCGAGAGAAATGTCCCCGCTGCAGGAAGTCTGAACACACTTGGCTCAAATGTACATGGAACGATTTGGAAGTGATGGGCACTGAGTGGAAAAGCAGATTGTGAACAGAGAGGACCCAGGCCGCAGGGAAATCATGTGGCCAGAGAAAGAGTTTGCTCCAACTCACAGACAAAGCAAGTCTGGGCCACCCAAGAGAGTGTGGCTGACTGGTCACTGGCTGATCCAAGCAATGATCATTCTCCATGCCTCCTAGGGACCAAATGCCTCTGTTCACCAGGTCAACCGCTCTCCTGAGGTACCCCAACCAGGCGCATGTCACCTCCTGGGAACACTTCAACCCTTACTCCTTTGCAGTTGCTCAAAGAACTCCAAATACAGGGCAGTTTCTCCAGGAGGTAAACAGGCATGGGAAATACTATGTCTGGCACTTTCTTCAGATCACTGGAAATTAGAAAGAATAGTCACCTAACAGACATAGAAGGTAGTTTGACCCAAGAAGCAGGAACACAGTCTTTGAGACAGAAGATCAAGGTAGCTACAAGGTCCTTGCATCTCTTTGTTGACTCCTTAAACTGAATTTCCACATATAAGTCATGGGCTGAGATGACAAAAGTCTGTATCTGGAATCTCACTTAATGCTGACCTTGGCAAGGGACCTAGGCGAGGTCCCAACTTAATCCTTTGACTGAACTCTGTGAGAGACATGGCCCAGTGTGTGCAGGAAAAGGTCTTCCACTCACTCATCTCTGTGCTGTGGTGGAGATGCGAGCCTGAATCTTAAGGTGACGCCAAAATAATTCACGGTTAATTCTCTGTTCAAGTTGAAACACTAGAGAGACCTATACAAAAATGGAGGGAATTTAACCACGGGATCAGAGACAGTTTGGAGTAGAGAGTCATTAGGCAGAACCCTGAAAGATGGGGGATGGTGGGAAGAGTACCTCCCTGGTGGCACAAGGGATTAAGTCTCAGCACTATGAAGCTATCGGCAACTGCTATAGCACAAGTTCCATCCCCAGCCAGGGAGCTACCCAGCCAGGGGACTGACTCTGGCAGTAAGTTGAAGAGCAGGATAAAGAAATTCTGGGGTTCAGGATGGGGAGGGACTGAAAAATCCTAGGTTTCACAATCAGGTTCTGAATCAAGTTCAAATAGTAATTTCTGACCACACAAATTTGGAAGGATGCCTTGCTCCTTGTCCAGATTTTAACCTTTCATGTGTAAAATGGGAATAACAGATGTATTTACATACTATCTGTCTTAGAAAAATAATTAGCACATCATATGCAGTCCATAGATCTGAGCTGCTATTTTTAGAATTTCTCCTAGATGAATCCAGAACATTGTCTCCCATATAATGGATATAATCTCTTGGGATTATCAAACAGAGCATTTTTATTTTCTGTCATCTGAAGTTCCTGTTTACCTCGGACTCTCAACTGTACCTGACCAGATCAAACCACAGGATTTCTTCCATAGACTAGAGGGATGCCCTTCCACCATTGAGGCTGAGGCAGGAAATTTAATAACCCTCAAGAAAGAAAATATGATGTAGGAAAAGTCCCTTCCATAAAGGAAGAAGGCAGAGCCACACATTCCAGACTCAATGGTGTCAAGAAAGAAGGAAACAGAAATTAGCTGAAGACCAAATGCATTTGTCCTTGCTTTCTCCTGCAGGGGCTAAATTCAAGAGGGAGAGGTGGGGATAAAATAAAAGCACCTAAGTTTCATGGAAGCCGAAGATCAGAGAGGTACCAATGAAATGCTTCCCAGGGCCACTGGGGGAAGTCCCAGACCTTGCCATGGCTCAGCGACATGGTGACATAGCCATGGAGGAGGTAGCTAGACAGGGAAGCTGAGACAATACCTTGACACCCCACAGCAATAAGGGGGGCTACAAGTGGGCAAACCTGGGCTGAGGTCAAAAAGGTGGTTATGGTGGGAGCTTTGAAATAAAATATATTGCTTCTCAACATTTTGGCTAAGATCAAGTGTGAAGTAAGAAAAAAATAGCCAGGACTGCAGACTCCAACGACCAGAGGGGACTTGTTACTCCTCAGGAATCCATCCTGCAGCAGAGCCAGGCATAACTCACAGCCCAAGAAACAGCTCATGATTCTGAGTGTTCCTCCTCCCCTCTTCCAACATGAGTTCCCAGGAGATGCCACCATATTGGGAAGGAGTAGGGGGCAGAGACTAAAGTGCAAAAGATTTTTATTTGTCTGAAATTGGGTGATTTAAACTGAAGGAAATCTACTTAAATTCAAGAAGATTATACTTATTTATAACTAAGTTTGAGTTTGCTTCTCTACCTCCTGAAGAGATGAAGGCTTCTGGAGCTTTGATTAATGATAGAAAAGGCAAGAAGCTACATCTTCCCTGCAGCATCAGCCAACACTATGTATACAACAGTGGTGAAGGGGCAGCAGAAGGTTGGGGCACTGAGCTTGGGAGAAAGGAAGAAAAAGAAACTGTCAAGATATTCCTGCATATGATAGGGATGGAATTGTCACAGGATCCAGATCCAGAACTTCTGGGATTGCACTCAAGACAGTAAGGTGAAGCCACGTGTGTCTTCAACACGGAAGGTGTAGGAAAACATAGTTGATATAGCATATGGTAGCCCTCAATATGGGTAGCTCTGGTGTTTGTGATTTTGCTCATGAGAAATCACAGTGATTCATAATGTAATCATTTGTTATCTGGGGAGATGGAAAATTCCGTCTTGCTCACCAGTGTCTGGGCCTATCCAACCGCATGGCAACCCCATTTCAATGGGGCTTTCTTGTTCTTTACTCAGCATGGTCCAGAAAGGGGCAAAAATACTGCAGTTCAAGGGATAGAAGGGAAAGAGATAGAAAGAACATAGTCATAGGTCTTTCTACCTCATTCAACAATTGTTCATTGGAAAACATAAAGGATAAAGAGGTGTGTCTGCAAAATATGCAGATGGGGAGAACATCTGAAGGAAGAGTTCATCCTGATCAGCCTGACAAGCTTACCTTAAATCTGACAAGCTTATCCCAAAATTCAAACCAAGGCAGCTTTCTAAGAAAGGACTTATTCAGACCTCCCTGGTGGTGCAGGCGGTTGAGCGCAGCCCTGTGGAGCTCTCCGGCCAGGGAGATGCCCCACACTGTGTGGCAGACCTCTTTTGTCTCGCCCGCTGCTCCCCTCAGCAGTATTTCGTCAGTCTGCCTGTTCTGTTCCCCGGTCTGGCTCTGAATTCTCTCACCCTCCTGTGCTTCTGACTGTACCCACTGCTTGTATAAATAAATAAATAAATCTTTAAAAATTTTTTTAAAAAATTTTAAAAGAGGAAAGGACTTATTCTACCAGAGAGCAATATTTATTTTAAAGCTGTATTAAGGGCCTCCCTGGTGGCACAAGGGATTAAGTCTCAGTACTATGAAGCTATCGGCAACCGCTATAGCACAAGTTCCATCCCCAGCCAGGGAGCTACCCACATGGCACAGCAGACCTCGCCTGTCTCACCTGCTGCTCCCCTCAGCAGTGTATTCAGTCAATCTGCCTGTTCTGCTCCCCATTCTGTCTCTGGTGAATGTTCTCTCTCTCTCTCTCTCTCTCTCTCTCTCTCTCTCTCACGTGCACACACATACACACACACATCTCACACACACCTCTGGCATATACCCAGCTCTTGTATGCATAAATAAATAAAATAAATCTTTAAAACCTATTATAAAGCTGTATTGAGTGACGCATTCAGAGATGTGGTAGACAAGGCTAATGAAATAGAATATAAAGCCCTGACATAGATGCACTTATATATGGGAGTTGGGGAAAAAATCGAGTTTTCTCCCAACTCAGGAAATCAAGGCATAATCTCAGTTATAAAGAAATAAGGTGAGACTCTCACATGCATA